TATAATCTATTTCGAATTTATATGGTGACTTTTCTTTACTTTTAAAAATTTATTTAAGGGGTTGCCATAAATGTTGATCACAATAAGCGATGTATTTTCCATGCTCTTTAATTCCTTGTACGGAGTAAAGGAAGTATTGTAATCACGAAAAATTCCGGGTACTATATTTCAACGAAAATATCTATTTTGATTGCTATCGAATGCAATTTAACTATGTTTTTGCTTGACATCCGTACATAAGGACAGAATAAAGGAACCTTTTTTTTCCCCAAACAAATTGTAAAATTGATTTAAAAATGGATTCAGAAAAGAATTTTTCGTGGCGTCTATACGTACGTACGTATGTATGTATCTCATATAATTCAAAAACGAGTAGCCTCAGAACGTTGAAATTTTGTATATAGGTCTGCTATAATATGTAGCTGTTTACCTCCCTTTTTGGTTGCAATCGGTCGCACCAAAAATATATAAATGTCTATATATATATCCGCTATGGTTATCTAACCCACTATGTTACTCGGCTGAGTGAGGTAAGTTTTTTCTTATTCTTATATGTTGGTAAATTGCTCATTTTTTGCTTTAAAAATTATTGAATTATGTTGTTCTTACATCCGGTTAAGGTTTTTATGCCTTTAGTTAACCTGCATGTTATTAGTTGGAGAATTATCTACAGTTTCAAAGTTGTTAAAGTGCGGCTAAACCTATTTTTTTTAACCATAGCAGCCATATTTGTTTACAGTTGAAACTTAGTAGAATAGGGGATTTGGTGCCAATTTAGAGAAACTAAGCTTCGTAACAACAAAGATAACGTCTTCTTTTATTATTGCGAATTAAATCATGCTTAATCTATTCTGGAATTAAAAATTTAAGTTATTAAATTATACCATATTGTTACGAAATGTACAGGCGCTGTAACGTGGCTTCCCCGCAAAGCAGTTTTGGGGTTGCCATAAAATGGCAAGAGAAGGCAGGATTGCCACAGTTGGCAAGAAATCGCTTATTTGGCGACATTTGGCGACAAAATTGGCGATATGCCATGGACGGATGGAGAACCATCTGGAACGAATTGTTACCGGTTTAACCCAGAATGTTCTCGAACACAAGCCGAAAGCTATATAAGCCCTGCTGGTCCGCAGTCAGTCGGAGTATGTGCCTCGTCTAGCAAGCTGATAGTCAGTCAGTGTGTTTCATCTAGTTAGTCCGTGCGGAGACGATCGAGTGACAGCCGGCCAGCGACTGCCGAGTGGGTCGTCGAGTGCATCGAAGAGTCTTTTAGTGTATCGCGGTTAGTGCCTCGTCGAGAGAGCGTGTTCAGCTCAGGGAACGACCGAACCGAAGAGTCGGGAGATGTGCTCTGCGTTTCGTCGAGTGCATCGCGAGTTGTAGCGTGGAGAGTCTCGAGAGTACGTGGAGTTTCGAGAACGACCGAGCAGAATCGGGAGCTGTATTCTGGTGCTTTGCAGTGAAGCTTTCTCCACTGTTATAGCCTGATAGTGCAAAGGCTGTGTCGCTGATTGTTCCAGAGTGTTTATATAGTAGATCTTCGACGACTGTAAAACGTGTTTTGTAGCTGTCCTGATCATACTGGCCTTAAAGTGTGTTATTCGATACTTCATCAAGTGTCGTCTTTATTCACTCCAAATCCACACGAACACCGTACGAATGTAAAGGAAGAAAATTACGTAACAATATATTGACTCAGCATAGCGTCCACAATAAATTGAGTCAGGGTCTACGCCTTCAGTGTCTTTTTGACGCGTGACACCAAAAGTAAACTTTCAATTTTGTGCACCGAAAAATCTGCCCGAATTGGTTGTTTTTGCGTAGAAACTCTAATTTTAATTGTAAAAGTTGTTCTTTAAACTATTTTAACTGTATTTATGTTTTATAATTTTCTGTATCTTTTAAGTTTGAATAAAAACATTTTGAGGTTTTTATGTATTTTTGCTTTGTCGCGAATTCTTTGAATGAGAAATATATATCTAATGAAATTCACGGAAATAAGTTTAAATGAAATGCAGGGAAAAAATGCGTATGATTTAATATATTTCGTACGAGGAAGTCATGTGGTGTATACATAAGATTTAATTTATACAGGGAGGCGATAGCAGTGTAACGCGGAACGGTAACATTTACCGCGAATACAGTAAGCGGTGTGTACTGTAATATACTTAGTTTCTGATATGCTTTGTGAACTATTCTAATGATCATGCATGGAGTATATTAGCACTACTAGATCCGATTTCACACCGGATAGTTCTTCATGGCAAATTTCTTTAGCAAAAGGTACTTTAAGGCAGCTCAAATCTCTCTCTATAATAATGAAAGTCTTTGCCATCTATGTGTTGTAAAACATTTTTATGGCCTCGAAATTTCACAACAAATTAATAAAAGCAGAGAGCAAATTGATTCCTCTTACTTTGTATCCAGCGCAGCGTCAAGCGAGGTGATAGCTAATTAACTTGTAATCTAAAAAAGGTTATAGACGGAAATTGTAACAGAAACACATTTTTATCCATACAATGAAAATAGATTAAGATTCGTTAGTATCACAAATACATATCGAAAAAGGGAGTTATATAATAGAGAGTGTCATATCACTGTCCTTTCCTGAAGGAGTGAGAAAATTAAGGAGTAAAGAATAAGCGAGTTACACAATTAAACTCCTTTGCAGGATGTCCAGATTACACTGTGTATTGCGCTATTGGCGACAGTCCATCACTATATGCATACCAACACCATGTTCATTTTATTACTTGGTTTTCCCCATGTGTAACGTGTATAAGAGCCAGTTTCCTTTAGAAAGTCCTTCACGAAGGCATCCCTTCCCTGAGCAGGTAGCCCTAGTGTGCTTTGCCATAAATAAATACACACACACACATTTTATTACTAATTAAACAAAAGAGTCTTTTAGTTATGAGTTCAAAATTTAGTAATTTATATGCATAAAATATTAATTACAGTCTTATAACGAGCAAATCTTATCGTCTCGTCATACGCTTAATGTTATTTTATACTGTTATTAGCGAACCGTCGATCATTTCTTGAAGCTCTTTTATCCATGGATCTGAATTAACAGGTGTAGTTACAGGTCATATCCGGATTGGGAATTCCTGGAGTATTTACAAGATTCTTTACCAGTGTGGTTTAATTTACATTGGTCAAACTAAGAGAGCCTTAAAATTTCGTGTTAAGGAACATGAGGCATATGTTAGAAAGAAGGAAACACATAGGTCTTCTGTTGCCCAGCATTGTTGGTCCGAAAATCACACTTTCAATTTTTCTGCGCCAAAATTATTCAAAAAGTCTGTCATTGGTGAACTGGACTTTCTAGAGGCATTTCACATTCAAAAAAAGTCTTTCTGTTCTAGTTAACAGCCCTAATTCCAATCCATATTTGCTTTCAGCCTTTAAAGAAATTATGTTTTAGTTGTGGTTTCATCAACAGATGTCGCCAGTAGCTTGACTTCTGTCTAGGCATTCGTATCTTATCTAATCACTATATTTTATCTCTTTCATTTGCGCTTTTGCAGCTGAGGATGATGGTTCGGTAAAACCATCGAAACTAGTCCTGTGAAAATTTGAAAATATAACGCTGATTTTTGTGGTTTGACTTCTAAATTTATACCTGACGCTAGCTTTAATTTCATAGTTTGAAGGAACATCTTTAGGTCATAAGTGATGTTAGACATGCCAGTTTCAAAACTTGCACATTTTTCATCACTATTGTCCGATTTCCTATTTCGAGCATCTAGAGCAGTGTGCCATCTGAAGCACCGTGGTGTGCCGCCGGGTCTAGGTGTCACGGTGCTGTTCGCCCGCTATAACTCCTCCCGTCACTCCCCCCGCCAGTGTCATAGGTGGTCACGGCGCTGTGCAGTGCTATAACTCCTCCCCCTGCCAATCTTGACAAGTGTCCGCCGTGTCCCCGCCCCCATGAGACGCAGGCGACGCCTCACACAGTGTCAGAGAGACAACGGCTGCTGTGAGGAGAGAGACCACTGATACTGCAGTGATGGACAAGTTTTTGAAAAGGAAAGAACTGGACTCTGAACAAAATCTGGAGCCAGATGAGAGCCCGAGTATGAGTGGGGGTCAAAAGAAGCAAAGATGGTTAAAAATTCTCTGGCGCAAGGCAATATAGCGAAAGCTATATTTCAGTTGGATTTACTTTCACTGGAGATGAACACAAACCAACTCCACTGTGCGTGGTGTGTGGTGAAAAGCTAGCTAACAGTGCTATGGTTCCAAGCAAACTTAAACGCCATCTCCAAACGAAACACCCTTTGCTTCAAAACAAGAATGTGGACTATTTTGTTCGCCTGCGTGACAACATGGAGAAAACAGGCAACTTTTATGAGAAAAACCAACAAAGGTAAATGAAAGAGCTCTTAAAGCTAGCTATCAAGTTGCTGAACTTATAGCCAAGACAAAAAAGTCGCACACTGTGGCAGAGACATTAATACTTCCTGCCTGCAAAGCTATTGTAGAGGAGATGCTCGGACCTGAAGCAGCAAAGGAAATAGCCAAAGTCCCTCTCTGAAACAACACAATTTCCAGACGCATTAATGACATGTCTGCAGACATCGAAAGTGTGGTTTTGGAAAAGATCCGTATCAGTGAGAAATTTGCATTGCAACTTGACGAGTCTACTGATATCAGTGGACATGCTCAACTCTTAGCTAATGTGCGTTTTGTTGATGGTGATGCAATTAGAGAAAACTTTTTTTTTTGCAAGGTATTGCCAGAAAAACAACAGGAGAAGAAATTTTTCGGGTCACATCAGAATACCTTGAACAAGGAGGACTTAAGTGGGAAAACTGCACAAGTGTCTGCACCGATGAGCTGCAGCCATGGTCGGGCGCACCAAAGGCTTTGTAAGCAGAGTGAAGGAAAGAAATCCAGTTGTGATTATTACGCATTGTTTTTTACACCGCGAGGCCCTCGTAGCCAAGACTTTACCATCAGCCTTAGTTCATGTGTTGGATGATGTTGTGCGCATGGTAAACATTGTAAAGTCACGACCCATGAAAAGTCGCATATTTGCAGCTTTGTGTGAGGAGATGGGAGCAAAGCATAAAACCTTGCTGTTTCATACGGAGGTCCGGTGGTTGTCGCGTGGCAAGGTCTTGGTTCGTGTGTATGAGCTGCGGGAGGAACTTAAAGTGTTTCTGACAAATGAGGGGTCAGATTACGCAAAGCAGCTTGCAAGTGATGAGTGGTGTGTAAGGCTGGCATACCTGGCAGATATATTTCATCATCTGAATGAATTGAACACCCGAATGCAAGGCCGAAAGGAAAACCTGCTTACAAGTACAGATAAAATAAATGGATTCCGTTCAAAGGTGCAACTCTGGCATCAACACGTGGAAAGTGGCAATCTTTAATGTTCACACTCACCATGCAATGGCAAGGTGTTCACACTGCTGCACTGTGTGAGATAATAGTTAAGCATTTAAAAATTCTTGAGGAGAAGTTGTCATTTTATTTCTCTTCAGTCTCCACTGAATGCCTTGACTGGGTTAGGGACCCTTATAGCTCAGCATCAGTTGTTGGAAAGGAAATGACTTTACAGGAGCAGGAGGAACTAATTGAACTGAGACAAAATCGTGGTTGCAAGCTAAGATTTGCTGATCTACCTTTGGACAGTTTTTGGTTGGATACTGCCAGGAGTTCCCTTCTGGCAAACAAAGCTATTTTGACATTGCTCCCTTTTTCCACTACATATCTGTGTGAGATTAGCTTTTCAAGCATGATTGCTATGAAAACCAAATACAGAGAGAGACTGAGAACTGTTGACGAAGAGTCTACGTGTGTGTCTTTCTTCGAATCCAGCCAGAATATAGCTTTGTGTTCAGCCAAACAGGCCCAGGTTCGCACTGAAAGTATTTTATAATTTTTCATTATTCTGTTTACTTAATATTTCATAATAAAGTAATTATAAAATACTTTCTTTGTGCTTATTTGATTCTTATTCAAGAGAATTACTTTATTATAGTCAATATAGGCACAGAGTTAATTTTTTAACATTTTCTAATGGTGGTGTGCCTCGTGATTTTTTTCCCCGCGACAAGTGTGCCTTGGCCAAAAAAGTTTGGGAAACGCTGATCTAGAGTATCACACATAAGTGGCACATGCTTTTTTACCATTTTTACAATTAATTTACATTTAATTTTTTGGGGAGTCCCCAAGAAAGTGGGGACCTTAAGCTATACCTTGTGTAGCTTATACGTAAATTCGGTCCTGAAAACAAGATTCAAACATAGGATAAAGTATCGCAGCACATTTATCAGTAGTCATTCCCAGTGTCTCTAGTGATTCGTTTCGAGTTTTATCGTAAAGAGATATCATTGAAATTTCTTCTTGTTTTTGAACCGAGATTATCAGTTTTAAGAACTCTTTGACATAAACCTCCACTAAAAGGTCATCCCGTACAAACCGAGTTTTCAGACTATCAACTGCTTTGGCGTAGTTGTCTTCTGTTGCCGGGAAGCTTTCTACAACTTCTTGTGCTCTGGATTCACTTATAGTAGCTTGAATGAGGTACTGAAATTGAGATTTCAAGTGCAATTTCTTGAGGCTTATCTGCACTTAAACAACTTTAAAATTGTTGATAATTCTACAATTGTTGCATGCAGATTAACTAAAGGCATAAAAATCTTAACCGGAGCATACTAGCAACATAATTCAATCATTTGTAAAGCAAAAATGGACAATTTACCAACATGTAAGAATATACAAAATCTGAGCTCACCGAGTATATATATAATTTTGGTGCGTGAGATTGCAACCCAAAAGAGAAGTGCACATCTACATGTTATAGCAGTCCTATATACAACATTTCAACGTTCTGAGGGTACTCATTTTTGAGGTATGCGAGATACATACATACTTACGTACAGACGTGACGAAAAAAATCTCTTCTGAATCCATTTTAAATCAATTTTATTAATGCGTTTTGAGAAAAACAATCCTTTATTTAGTCGTTACGTACAGATATCATGCCGAAACATCGTTAAATTGCATTCGATAGCGGTGAAAATGGACATTCTCGTTGAAATATCATACCCGGAATTTTTCATAATTACAATATTTCCTTTACTTCGTACAAGGAAGTAAAATTATTCATTTACTTGGAATAAACTGAAACTGTAACTAAATTCTAAATTAGTATTAATAACAGAGATATTATGATCTTGTTTTGAGAAATTAACTAACTACACCATTCTTAATTTAACATCAATATCGTAATCTTTACTTTTCTCATGTTTGCTTCTGTTTCTAGTTAAGTGTCATCTATGTAGTGCCTCTCCCTTTTTTTTTCCTGTCTTCAGCTACGTGAAACGTAAACGTGTAATTATGGAATATTGTACATAAAGCATTAAATTGTAATTATATAATTATGGCACCATTTCTACACTTGTATGTGGCTTTATTTTATTTTATTCACTAAATTATGCAAAAGATAAAATAGATCCATGACTACATATGACTAAAAAAAGAATCATCAGAAAAATCATAATATATATTATGGGGGGAATATATCATTATATACTCCCCCTCTCTCTCTCTCTATATATATATATACAGGGTGTATCAATACAAGTGACAAGTGACGGAGGACGTGGGCACTGCCCCTTTACCATGAAGGTTAATCAGTACAGCACCACGTCCACCAATATCTAGAGTAACCTGATGAGATGCCACATGAGGACCTCGCACAAGACGCCCAGATCCAGCACCTAGTCCATCCGAACGGCGGTCGAACTAACCAAAAGGCCCCCGGGAAGTCAACCCCATCCAACTGCCCGGGTCCAGTATTTATTGATATTGACAAAGGCAAATACATGGCCATACAAGGGCTAATTACTATAATGACTACATATGATATGTAAAAATAATCAATACACATTAAATAAACAAATTTAGTTAAAATACAGTGGCAGATTGCTTGCCAGAAACCCTAGTACGTGAGAATGCACAAGACTAATATTATACTCTTCATATATAAAAATAATGCATAGTGCAATTAGAATTAAAATAGCACTACATGCAGATACTTAAATTGCAGACATTGATATACAAATAATTTGGAAAGACATAAATGAATAATATTAAACAGCTACTGTCTAACGTAGCGAAATGTATACCGCCCACACAAGTACTTGGGCATGCTCAGACAATTAACTTGGATGATACTAATATAATAATCATACGGATACTGCTATATGGCTAAGGTTTGACTCATATGAGATATTTAATAAGATGATTTACATACATAACTGCACATAGGAACTAAGACTATATATAAAAGTATTTAAGCTGAATTGCAATACAGTAAAATTCGTACGTTACAAACTTTCAATGCAATGCCCTATACTTTCATGTTAATATTTCAAATATTTTACAGTTATTTACATGTTCATTTATGTATATTATAAGTAGGGTCCTAATACTAGTAGTTAAAAATGGAGCATAATGTAATCTACCCAAACACATACACTGGTGCAGATCTGAACTAAAACAGCACTATAAATTATTAAACTGGTAACACAAGAAGATATTTAAATTGCTCATACAATAAACATACAGATACTGCTCATGTGTGGTATTTAATAAGTTGGTTTACGTTCTTTAGTACACATAGGTACTCGTAGTATATGTAGAAAAAAATTTTAAAAATTCATACATTACAAACTTTCAGTGCAATGGGCATTTATAACACTTTGCATGACACATTCTAAACCTCTTGCTGTAGATACATTTTACGATATGACTATTAACTTACATTAGAATCCTTTTAAATAAACATATTTTAGTTAAAATACAGTAGCATATCGCTTGTCAAAACCCCTAATACGTGAGAATGCGCAAGACTGATATAAAGCTTACATTATACTCTTCATATATAAAAATAATGCATAGTGCAATTGGAATTAAAATAATACTACATGCAGATACTTGAATTGCAGACATTGATATACAAATCATTTGTAAAGACATAAACAAATAATATTAAACAGTTACTGTCCAACGTAACGACATGTATACCGCCCACACAAGTACCTGGGCGCGCTCAGAAAATAATCATACAATAGTCATAGAGAATACTAATATAAAAATCATACGGATGCAGCTATATTGCAAAGGTTTTACTCGTATGTTAATAAGCTGATTTATGGGTGTTTCAATACAGCGGTAACACAGTTTCAGAAGAGATAGAGTACTTTCTAGACGATGGGAAATCACATAGCAATTGCATGGTCGGAAACGCTTTCCTGGCACGCTAATGACAACACAAAAGTCAAGAAAGACAGGACACGAACGGGGGGGGGAGAAAACATGTTTATTGTTGGGAGTGCAACAAAAATTAAAAAAAAAATAAAAAAAAAAAATAGAGAGGTAATGATCTACAAAGATAGGTGTTGGAAATTGTGACCCGGACCGTGATGCAGTAATTGTGCGTCATGCGTGTTCCATTCGTGATGCAGATCTTCCATGCGCCAGAGAAGTGAGGCCTGCATCACGGTCCAGAATCGTAACTTCGAACACCTTCACCCATAATTACCTTATGATGTCCCATAATTAACACAAGATTTGAATTAAATAATAAAAGCAGTTTTTTCTTTAAACTGTTATTTTTTTATTGAATTGTAAATTACACCGGATAGGGTTATGTATAGTAAAACACATCGAGCAAATAGCCTTTGCTGTCACATACGCATTCTTTTGTCGAAATTTTCCATGACTATTTAACATAAATGCGGCTGAATTTCGTCGATACATAGATGAATTTCCTCCTGCTGCTCTCCCTCCTCTTGCTGCTCCCCCTCCTCTTGCTGCTCCCCCTCCTCTTGCTGTTCCTCCTCCTGCCGCTCCTCCTCCTTCTGCTCCTCCTCTTGTTGTTCCTCCTCCTTCTCCTGCTCTTCCTGCCGCTCCTTCTTTTTCTGCTGCTCCTCCTCCTCTTGCTACACCTCCTGCTGCTCCTCCTCTTGCTACTGCTCCTCCTTCTGCTCCTCCTCTTGCTGCTCCTTCTGCAAGAGGAGCAGCAGGAGGAGCAGGAAGAGGAGCAGCAGCAAGAAGAGCTGGAGGACGAAATATTCGGGGCAGAATAACAATATTTGGGGGCAGAATATTGTTACGGATTTGGTATTTATATAGCTTATGTTAGTTGAATTGTAAATTAAATGGTTTTATTCCCCGCGCAGTGCAGCGCGTGACGAATAGTAAAAGAAAGCTAAGCCGGAAAATTGAAAATACAAGAGCGCGTGCATGTAACATTTAATAAATATCTCTTTTTGATTTCGAGAAAGTACTAGAAAATTCTCGCGCGCGATTTTAAAATCTTATAAAAGGAGGAAAACCTCTCAGTTCGTAGTAGTTACTTAGTTTGTTGTTGTTTAGAAAACTGCTCTTGTTGACTGTAGCGAATTCGCGGATTAGCTTTCTCTAGCTGTTTTGAATTAAGTTCTTTTGAACGTTTGAGTAGTTAGAAGATAACTACTGTGAGATATTGCAAAACTGAAAGAATATCTGAGGGAATTTAGGCATTTTGTGATAATAATAAATTTTTTTGTTCATTTTTCATCGGACTTGTGCATTCATTTCGTAACGAACCCATACGCACGCAACAATATATATATATATATATATATATGATAACAAAATTCGGGGGGCAGAATAATTTTGCTTCGGGCCCACGTGCTATTCGAGACCAGCCATTTTCCCACGTGCCGCCCGCAATTCCATAATTGTGAATAATAATTTTGTAGTTGTAAAGATAATATTGTAATATTTAGATGATTAACATCGCATCTGCCTTTGGAGAAGAGGGTTTTTAAGGTTATTTTTATTATATTCAATATATTTTTACTTGAAATTTATGAGAGAATATTCTTCTGGTTGCAACTGATGTCACGTGTTTGAAATATTTTCGCCTTGGAACAACCTGTTAGGTTAACTGCTGTTTTCGGGTTGACTGCTAGGTTCACTGCTGCTAATGGACTGCTAGGTTGACTGCTGTTTTCGAAACAAAAATGTTTGTTATCTGTATCATGACTGGTAATATAAAAGCATCTACAGCAATTGAAGATTTACCGAAACACACTCGCGGTTTAGTCAATTGACGGTTATCACGATTACAATTAAAATTGGAGGAAAGGAGAATAAAATGTGTTATAATAATTAAAAACTGACAGTTAATATTTTAACTATGTTTTGAATCAATTTAATTGGTTGACAAGTTTGTTTGACTATGTAAAATAACACAGCACTCAGATCAAGAACGTACTATTAGAAGAAAGGAGAAAGAAAAAGTCTGAAAGGATTTAAATTGTAATTTCGTATCAGACAGTTTTTTAAGGTTTTTTTCTGTTGCCGCTGAGCTCGCGGTTTATCTGCCTGTTCTTGGACGCACTCCTCCTGACACAACTACTTTTACCTTTTTGTAACCATTATTAGTGTATTGTTATTTAAGAAAAGAAATGCAAAACCTCACTTGTTTCACCAGATAGGTCATGAGGCTTGCAGAAGTAAGTAAATACCTCATCAATAGATTTGAGCTATAATACAGATGAATAAGACAACACAATAATATAAGACACCTAGATGTGGAGAGAATAGCGAATGTATTGTTTCGGATTTGTAATTAAAATCGTTTTAATTCCCCATGTAATGCAGCGCGTGACGAGTTTTAAGAGAAAGCTACTCCGAAAAAGTAAAATTACTGGAGCACGCGGCATTTAATAATAGATATCTGGTAATTTACGAGTATGTTTAAACTGAATAAATGTAATTGACAACTGTGTTAGCTGTGACCGTAATTCTGTTCTTTTGCTTTAAATTTTCAGAACCTTCTGGTGTACGATTAAAAAGTTTTAAAACGCCATAGAGAAATATCTCAGTTCAGTTGTTTACATAGTAACTGTTTTGTTGACTGTAGCGAATTTGCAGTGAGATCGGATTAGCTTTCTCTGAGCTTTGGATTGCGTTTTATTTGATGTTTTAGTAGTTTAAAAATGTAACTACTGCGTGATATTGTGTGATAGTGTGATATTGTACCCATATCTAAGAGGAAAATTTCAGCATTGTGTTTTATTTCCTGTGATAAGAATAAATTTTGGCGCTCCCCTGGCCCAGGCGCCCTTGTGCGGTGAACCATTTTGCCACCCCCACGTGGCGGCCCTGAGTCGTTATCAAAACATCTGTAACGAACTGTGGATCTTCGAAATACTGCTTACTCTTCAAAATAATTTCTTTCAGTTCCGTAATTGTGACCATTTGACGCAATGTCGCACCAATTTTTTCGTCGACATATAAGTCCTCTTTCTTAAATCCTTTTGCTATCTGAAATATTGTGTCGAATCAGAAGTAACCTCTTGACGCATAACGCCAGAAAATGTAAAGAACAGCTGCAAATGAAAAGTTACAAAAGTTACGGACGCCTTTTAAACCACTGAAGTGACCTACAAGTTCTCCAGATGAATGAATACGATAATTAAAAAAAGTTAACAACTATTTATTCAGTCAAAATGCAGCCTTAAATTAGCATTGTTAACGTGAACAACATAAAAAAGTGAGAACATTGTGTTCGAAACATTACGTAAAAAAGAAAAGAATATATTCTTTTAATAACAATAATAATCATTGCCATTTTAACAGCAAGAAAAGTAATAACAAAAATAATAGGTGAAGTAGTAGGTAAGTTTAAATAACGATATTAAATTTTGTGCAATCTTTAGCAGCTAGGAATGAGATGAAAATGTGCAGGGAAAAGGATTTAAAGATGGTGTTTACTTACATTTGCTCTGTAATGGCCTATTCAAGATAATCTCGGCGAAATGCAGCACACCTCTGAAATGTACTTAAACTTTTGTGTCAGCTTTGCTGCTGAAGAATAATCATAAGTTTCGTAAATATGTGGCATAAAACTTGTGTGTCTTCATTTTTTATTAAGACTAGTCGTACTCTAATTTTTGTTTCTTAAAATTAGAATTAACCTACAATCACAAATCTTTTTACTCTTCTTCAGGCAAAAAGACTTAAAGCTGGATCTAAATGTTGTATTTTCTAAATGCGTTATTATTTTTCAATTTTCGGTATTGTTAGTATTTTTCGTAGTTTTATAATTGTGTGAGCCAATTGATAATTTAGTTGTAAATTTTCAGATGCGAAAGGTCTACAAATATAACTACTCTGCACAGTGTCTTGCTTGTTATATAAACAATCTTATAATTTTGAAATTTCTTATTCATAGAAATTTTCCAAAAGTTTGGGTAAGTGGGTATATTTCTCTGTTTAATTTTTTTAAAATTTAGTAATGGTAGAGCATACCATGTTTGTAACTGTTATGACTGGAGTGTAGTTATTGCTAAAATGCGTAGAATTTGTTTGTAAGACTCAGACGTTCATACTTCCAAGTAAGTCATGTGAATAATTTCAGCATTTATTAATTCCCAGTGTAGTAGTGTAACCTCTCATGTTTGTGTAGAGTTAGTTGCCTCTGAGTAAAACTGAAAACTGCCATGAAAACTTTTTCATCACATCTCCTGGTCTGCCGCTAAATTTCTTCGTTTTTAATTTATCTGAATTATATCATAGTTTTCAGATGTAATTCTAGGAGGATGTTGATTACTAAGTACAAAGTAAAACAAAATTCTATGAAAAAGATTTTGATCATAAATTCTTCAGAAAAAGGCAACCACATTGTCGTCTGCAAATTTCAGTGTGGAAAGACTTCTCAGCTCTGAAGTTCATCAATTTGAATCTATGGCCCTTTATCAAAGAAGATCTTTCCGAAGCTATACTGTTTCTTAGAAATTACTAATGCCAGTTTTTCTATTTCGTAATAAATGCTAATTAATATAAATAATTTGCTATGCCATCAATTTCTGTAGCATCTATTGCTGCTTTTGTATTAAAAAAATAAGCTGCAATCCATGTGTATTTGTTTACATATACATGAGGGAATCGGAGTCAGAGTCTTTAAAATTTCAGGAGTCGGAGTCAGTCATTTTCCCTACTGACTGCACAGCCCTGCTTTTAAGCACAAGTATTATTGATGTTCTATACTTATGTGTGTTCTCATGAATTTAAATGCATGAATTATTAGTTGGCCATCTTAACATCTAACAATACATACCGTAAAACTGCTGCTTTTCTGTTATTAATACCTTCTCAGAAAGTTGCCAGAATGTTGTACCAAATGGTTTATCCAGTAACCATTACTTTTAACATTACAGGGTTACCATTAACAGGGTTATTACGGTCCTTAAGAGTCCTTAAAAGTCCTTAAGTTTTTTTGAATTGATTTTTGGTCCTTAAAAGTCCTTAATTTCGGCCAAAATCGGCAGAAGATCCTTAATTTTAATCATTGGAAATAGCTGTTTTTTATGACTGCCATTTTGAGTGTGAATTAGCATTTTGGAGGAATATTTTTGGTGATTCAACTGACAGATATGGTTATCTTTTGAATGGGTGAATGGATTATAATTCGTTCCTATTTCTAATATAAATCGTGGGATTTTCGAGTTTTATATTAAAAGAAGTGCAGCATAAGTATTTTGAAATGATTTCATTTTTTCTAATGAAGAGCTCTTAAACAACTTTTGGCTTTTCGGGATGTGAATTCTTTTATTAAACGGCTCTGAATTCGGCAACTTATCAGCATTTTGGCGATTTTAAGATCAGTTCCTATAGCAAATTTTTAATTTTGAGATCTGGGAATTTTTCGACATTTTTTAAAACATTCTAACATGGATAATTTTCATTAAAATAGTGGTAAAATATTGAAATTATGTTTAAAAAATTAAAATAAAACATTTTTAATTTTTGCTGTCATATTATAAAGTTCCATTTTGGCCACTTATTATACAATATTTTGAATCTGCGAAATAAGCAATGTATACGAAACAATTAACGAAACAGTTTTAGCAAAAGCAAAATAGCTATGTAAATAATTTAAAATGTCTTTTTAAATTTTTTCGTGGTAAGAGTTTTTCTCGTGAGTATTCAAATTGGCTCAGAGTGTTCAGTTTTCTCTATAAAATTAATTTTACACCTTTTCCTTCTGATGTTTTTTCTCAAAATATTTCTGGCTTTTTTACTGTTACAGAATTTTTCTTTAGGATTTTAGACATTGCAGCTTAGAAAGATAGAAACATTGCAGCTTAGAAGGATTTGAAGGCAAAATTTATAGACCCAAGATTCTAAAAAATTACAAAAAAAATATCTCCGAGCTAAATACACGTAACGAATGTATTTTGCAGAAAGTTTACGATGTATTTCTTACTTTTTGGAGAAGGTCTGGAAGAACAAAGAAAACATAATATTTGAATGTTTTTCTTCTGATACTAGAATCTTTTTCTTAACATGTTTATTCTCCCTTTATTTTCTCTAATTTTCACTAGACACAGACATGGAAAATATCAAAAATGCTTTTATTCTTATCAGAAGGACGGGCATTATAGAAAGAAATTTTTTGCTTAGTAAAGAAATTGAAAACTGACAATTTAAATGATTTATATTATATGTCTGAATGCATCATACACAGGGCTGGCGCTAGGCATTTTCCCACCTGATGGAGTCTCTGTGGATCCTAAATTCTGCTTCCAATGCCTGTCTAAATTCTAAAAGTTTTGGCATTTCTAGATTTTGTTGCTTGGTGTGTCACTAAATTCTAAAAATTCTGCCACACCGTCTCTGTAACCAGCCCTTACCATATATCTGTCATATTGCTTCTGAATGTTCATATTACTAAAGATATAAAATTGGCAGCTTTTTCTATGCTTTCTAAATTTAGTGTTTTTAGAATAACAGAAATCTTTAATTTAAATTCTAAAATGAAAAGGAAATGTGCTGAAGAAAGATTCTTCAAAGATATGTACTACTATTAGTATGTACAGTTATTATTATGTAAATTACCTAGTTGGTTTATAATTTCAGCCTTTACTATAATTTCCCATTTCTGTTTTCTCACCAGAATGCAATTCGCTTAGATAGTTTTTAAACTGAGGTGTATGGAGTGTAAGACAGAGTGTGTTTTATTCTCCACATACTTGCTGCATTAGTTCCTGTCTAAAATGAGACATAAAAAAATCAACATAAAGCTAACTATTAATTTAGAAGTAAAACAACAATCTTAATAAATCTAACTGTTAGTAAAACGTAAATAAAATGTCACTTATCTTCTTTCTAATATGTCCAACTATTATAAGTGTAAAATATTTAATGTTACTTGATAAATTTCATAAAGTTTTATTTTATTCTATAACTTATTAATAATTATGTTAATTAAGTTATGTTTAATAGTAATGCTCCTACTTTTATGTTTAGGACGGTATTACAAAAGTGAAGTTCAGGCACAGATAGTATTTTTAATTGAATTTGTTCAGTTCTCATTTGCTCATATGTCCTTAATTTTTTCATTAATGGACCTTAAAAAGTCCTTAAAAGTACTTAATTTCCGTGTGCAGAAAAGCGTATGAACCCTGTATAAGTACTGTTCTGTTGTTGTGACTAGATTCAGATATTCCCAAAAGCTGACAATCTGGCAAAAAATTCAAAGCATAAAAATAATCACCAAAATATTTACAATGCGGTTGAAAGAAAATCCAAGGGACAAAGTAATATAAGAGATATTCATAAAATTAGAAATTTTAAATGTAAATAAAGCCTTTATTATGAAATAGGTTCTTTCTGATTATCTGTACCCTCTTTGAGAAGCTGCCAAAAGGTATTGATTAGGCAATGCACCATGTTATCCAAAAGTGTTAATGTAGCAATCCACTATGTCACCAAAATTTATTTATGTAAAACCAGGTATGTGTGTAACATTCATATGTTTGAGTACATAAAATAAGTGCTTTTCAGTGGTTTGGTAATATGTAGTAAGGCTCTGCAATATATGTGGATCCTTTTTCGCATTTACTTTGCACATGTGCATACGTGTTTTTTAGATTGTAAAAATTTCTATATATTGAGCTATATTTCACATAAGACACTTAACACATTTTTCAAAATAATGTTGACTGCAAAAAAATAGATCTTCAGAATTTCCATCGTGCAGTTATTTTTAAGATTCTGCAGTGATGTATGGATTGCAGTTAGATTTTCTTTATTGTAAGTTCTGTGTGGTAAGAGATTTCAAAACTTTCTTTTTATAGAAACTAATAGTTTACTAACATTTTATTAAAAAAATGAGTTCAGTTGTATTAGTTTTGTGATGCATGTTCTGCGTTCCATTCTTTCAGAAAAAGAAAATCTTTTTTGGAAAATGAGAATAAAAATGTGTGATTTTTTATGATATGTGGACAGTTACCATTCTGACATAAAAATGCTTTTAAAAAATTAAAAGAAAATAAATTTAATATTCAAAAATTTTGAAAGATATTTCATTTACTTTTGAATAAGATCTCAGTATATGAATATGCATATAAATAACATATAGGTTATCTTTTTTTTTTTTTTTTTTTTTGTATGGAATCTGAACTTTTAGGAGATACATTTCAGAATAAATGTATCATAGTCAGTTACATTTAATTCATAATTATGAGGCCTTTTGTGTGGATAAGTTCTTCATAATGTAGCATAGTATAATATAATGTAGCAGTAAGAGGACATAAAATAGTGGTCTAAGATCTTTTCCCTGAAGATGTGTAAATAACTGAATCCTAACATGAGACTTGAATTATTAGTTAGTAAATGCCTAACACAATGAATCGTTCGTGGAACTGCCTTTTGCAAAAGCATGAAGGGTATTTTTCTTGATTATTTAATGTTAATAAAAATATCTTTGTAGGTCTTTTGTTGTAATATATCTTATTGACATTTATTATTGCTGAACTGATCTCATAGATACGTATCTGAATATATCTTGATTTGATTCTGCATTCTATTTATCACAATGTTTTTTGATTTTAAGCATGCTGAATTCCAGATGTATAAATGATATTTGAATGCTCAATGCACCTATATTATTGGTCGGGAAATACATAACAACAAAACATTTTTTTTAATCCTGTGCCTGTCTGCGGCATTTCTGCCATTAAGCGACGAGCAGCCCAGTAAAATAAAGAAGAATGAAAATGAGAATTAAAACTACTATCAAAAGAGTTGTCATTAAAAAACTTTAAAATGATGGGGCAGTTCTTGAGATGTTTGCCATCCATGTCACCCTGATGACATAAAGGGCAACAATCTGAATCCTTGATTCCAATATGACATAAATGGCTCTGTAAATAATCACGTCCAGTTAGCATTCAGAAACAAGCAACTGCAACAGATCGAGGCAAAAAATTGGGAATTTTATTCTTTTTATTAAGCAGAATGTTCCACCTCTTACCCACAGCCGCGTCTCTATATAAGGACATTCTATTATTCTTAATTTTCTTGTTTACAATCCTTTTAATGTTACGTAGAGGCAGAGGAGAATTGGGCTGAGCTATTAGAGAACCAGTTTTAGCAAGTCTATCAGCTTGCTCTTTACCAAAAATGCCACAATTCCTCTGAATCTATTGGAGAGCGATCTTTTCTCTAGAATTCCGTTCAAAAAGCCTTGGTCTATAAGTATGGATATGTGCATTTTCACATTGTATTTTGAATTCAAAGTGACAATATAGCAGCTTCAAAATCAGTGAGAAACACGATATTGCAATCAGGACTGTCTTTCAGTGTATCAATTGCAAATGATATTGCCGCTATCTCTCGCATCAAAATTGTTACAGTATTTCCCAACAGGTTAGTTAATACCGAAAGTACTTGAATATGCTCCAGCACCGGGTTTTTTATAGTGCCATCTGCTGAACCATCAGTATACGCATGGAGCCAATCATCCAGAGGGTACCTACTATATATAGTATTTAGAGCAGCACTTTTTAATTCACTTTGTAAGGAGAGCTGTTTATAGACATTTCAGAATAATTATTCATTAAGATCCAGGTGGGTGCCAACATGGTTTTATCTAGAACAGGATTTAATTCCTGAAGAAAAACCTAGCAATTGGGTGTAGGAATATCATACATATCATAAAGATCATGGATAGTAGAAAGGAAGGAATTGTGGGTTTTTAATCTTTCGTTTGCTGGTCTGTAATGATTTAGAAAGTTATTTTTTCTTCATATGATTATTTTCAACGAGGTTTATGGGTCCCCTTTGGCACCTTTCACTTAATGGTTCTAGTTCAGTATGAAATTCCATAGCAACTACGGGGCTTGGATTTAGTGCCACCAGTGATCAATCACAACATGTTTTGGAATAGGTCCTTGTTTTGAACAGAGGCAGTTATCAAAGCCTTGTTTCCATATTCAAGAGCAGAACGTCATGATTTTTATAGGCTGCACACAAGACATCTGGGGTTGAGCCCCAAGTGACACCAGCTAAACGTTTTAATAGTCTTGTTTTGGCGTATCCTTTATCAACGGCTGAATCAATATGCCTTGTCCAAGCTAATTTTGCATCTAAGTGAATACCCAAGTAGACAGTATCAAAAATTATATTCAGGGCTTTGTCATTAAACTGAAGTTGGATGTTGTGATGTTTTCTACTGAGGGAAAACAGTTGAAAGGTGGTTTACGACCATATTATCATAAGTACAGGTGTTAAGAACATTTAAGGCCTGTTGTAGGATGCTTTCTAGGCCAGCAAAGTCAAATCCTGTAGCACTCATCACCACATCATTAGCAAATAGTGTCTATTAAATCATTGATCATTATATTAAAAAGAATTGGGCTAATGTTTGGTTTGACTATGACCTGACACAGTATGACCACACTTATAAAGTGTTGGTCAAGAAAACTTTTAATCCATTTAAACAAGTAGCCTAAAATGCCACAAGAAATCAGCTTCCGAAGCAGTCCAGCCCTCTAGACCCTATCAAATGCATTTTTAAAGTCCACATATACTGCAAGGGTACTTTGCCTTCTTTGGAAGCCATCTTTTACCTCTTGGGGCAAACGTACAATTTGTGCAACTGCGCATCTAGGTCTATGGAAACCTGCCTATTTTTCAGATATTACACCAATTATGTCTAGTACAAACTTTAAGCTGTTAGCAGTCAATCTCTCAGTTAATTTACACATTATGCTTGTAAGAGAAATAGGGCAGTAACTGTTTATATTTTCAGCTGGTTTGTTAGGTTTGAGAATTGGTATTATCATGGCCTTTCTCTGAGCACTTAAGAAGCAATTTCTGCAGGTTTGGTTAGTGAATGCCAACAAAGTTATTTTTGCAGAATCTCCCAGTTTTACTAGGAACTTGGGTAGGATTTCACCTGGGCCTGCACTTTTACCTAAGGCATCAAAGCCATTTTTCAATCCCTTAATAAAGAAGTCAGCATTATAAAGTTGCTTAAAAACTGGAGATTTGTTGTCCTGAGGTTTCAGTTTAATTTTTTTTATTTTAATAGTAGGCCTGTATTTGCTTACCCGAGCATAATGCCCACAAAAAGCATATGAAATATCTTTATTAGTAGTAAGCTCTTTAAACCTTTTTTAATAGGTTAATTTCTTCTGATGTTTCGATTGTTTATCTGGGACAAAAAATTATGAGCCTTTATGCCATCCATCTTAAAGTCCAGTTTTTCTAAAATGTTTTTATATGAGGAATACTTTGCTTCAATTATTGAACTTTTTAAGGTAGCTTGTTTCTTACACAAAGCTATACAGTCTTCTCTAAGGCCGATATTTCGAGCCTTCTCACGAGCCTTATTGTTGTCTTCAGAAAGCTTCTGCAATTTGTCATTCAGAAAAGGGGTATATTTCTTTTGTTGTACTCTTCGGCCACATAAAGAAGCACGCTTTAGTATAGCATGAGTAAAGAGTTTTGAACAATGTTCAAGATTTGGAAAAACCAAGGAGTTGCTTATATAATTTATCAGTCTGCCATTTTAGAGTTCAAGAACACCTGACGAGGCTCCATGTAAGGGGATTTATATCTTGCATTACTGGATAGTAATAGTTTATGTCCAGCACCACAGGGACTATCAATTAACTCATGCTGTATTTTACATGACAGAGCTGAGTAGGCTAGGAGTAAATCAGGACGAGAGACACTTCCATTGCAAGAAAGGAAAGTCTGAGAATTTCCTTCATTCTCAATGAAATCAATAGGGTTAGAATCAATAAGATTTTCGAATATGTAGCCAATACTATTTGATGTTTAATACCTCAGCGAGTTGAGGGGGCATTGAAGTCTGCAAGTATAAGTGAATTTCTATCCTAGTCGAGTATTATTCTTTCAAAATTGTGTTTATTATTTTGAATTGATGTTTATTAGTGAATATCTTATGTTCAAGTAAATATCCGGTCTAGGGTCTTGTCTCCATACATTTATTTCCAGGAATTCTAATTTATCGTTGGTAGTCATCCGGTAAGAGGCAATTAATTTTGCCTTTGAAGAAAGTTTTACAAAATAATAATAATAATAATAATAATAATGGCAGTAGCAATTTGTAATCTTAAAAGCTGGTTTAGTCCTAGTCTTAGAAAAGATTTCTTGCTTCATTTCTCTCTTTACTTCTAAAACCCTCAAGAACGTGCACCTCTTACTAAGTCAAAAATGCTTTCCTACTTCTTCATCAATGAGGGCTACTTAAAGGCGATAGGTATCAGTCATTTAGTTTAAACAGGGGGCACCACATGAAGGCGACTGATATCACCCCCAGTTACAGTTCATAATTATTATTATTATTATTATTATTTTATTTTTTTTTTTGCGAAACATTGACAAACTGCAAACAAAGTGGTTGTGTTAATGTGTAAATACCCATCCAAACTCATATTCTCTTTTAACTTGATGAAGTTGTCAAATGGAATTTGATAATAATATCCTAATTTAATTGTAATAACTGCTGTTTGTTCATTTACAGGGATTTTCTGTAAGCATTAGACAATTCTTAATATTTCATAAATCTTGAAATCTGCCTATAAATTCTTTGGATAAGGCAGTTAAATAACTTCAGTTTTTTTTTTTTTTTTTTTTTTTTTTTAAATTTTTATTTTGGAGGTATTTGAATATCATCTTGTTTAGTTTTTATTATGACTGGAAAATTTTATGCAAAATTTGCTTTTTTATTTTTTGTGTAATGATAATAATTACTTTCAAAAGCATATACTTTGTTTACCATCTGTGAAATAGTTTTATTTTCGCACTTCAAGCCATGACTGATATTGTTACATTTTCTGTGATGTTGTACAAAAATTCTAAAATACATATACAGCTTTTTTTTTTGTTTGTTTGTTTGGGATACACTTTATTGTTTTCTTATGAAAATAATTTTTGTGTGTTAGAAAAAAGAATGAATTTTCACAATCTCATTTTCTCATGAATTTTCACGATTCATTTTCTCACTATTCAGTTCTCATTAATGTGTAAAAACTATTCTGAAAATTAGGATTGTGAAGTTAAAGGTTTTAAATTTTTTTTTAAATCTTGCTAAAATACATATAATAAACTGCCACAGGCCCACCAGCAGGACAAATCATCAAGGCTACCATCAGCTGAGTGCTAAAGTCACTGAACACTGGTAGTTCAGTCTGAGGTTCGAATACCACAAATGGGCTGGCTGCATGAGCATTTTTGTGGATTTTCCCATGTGTAACATGTATACTAGCCAGTTTTCCTGAGAAAATCCTCCATGAAGGCATCTCTTCCCTTAGGCAGACAGCCCTGGAGTACTTTGCCATAATCAAATAAACCAAATCAATAAATCATCGTTAAACACATAAAAAAAAAACATCATAATGCTATTCGACTCTTACACTCATCTTCCAGGATGAAATCAGTTTCAACAAGTAGAACAGTTCTGTCAAAAAGCAACAAAAAAACCTGTTTGGTGTGTTTTCCTCCCTCAGCACAGTGGGATTTGCATGTGATGTTAGCTGCTGTCTGTTAACTTATAACATAATACTAGAGATGTAGAGTCTCTTGAATTTCCGGAGAAGCTATAATTTAATTCACAGGGCTGTGCAGTTGGAGTCATGGAGTTGGGTAGATTTTTGGGTAAAAGGAGTTGGAGTCGCTAAAAAAAACGTCGCCTCCGACTCCAGTGTTTTGTTGAACAGTTTGAATTTGAAATGAAATTAAAGTGAATTGGAAAAAAAAAAAAAAAAAAAAAAATAATAATAATAATAATGACAAACTGAGTTAATATTTTTATTTATGGACTATATTCATTAATAAATAGTTATTTTTTATTTTTTTGACATATTAATAAATAAATATAAGGGAGCAGGATGGATGTGGTATTTGCCATTGTTGATTAAGCTGATTCATTTAGTTATTAAATCTCATTGGTGAATTTAAGTAAGCAGCAGTGGCAGCAAGAACTCCCAAAATTGAGGCCATTCTTAGGAAGCGAGCTCGAAAAGGAGCAGTGCAATTGGATCAAGCAACATAATGGGAAAGCACATATTTGATGATATAGAGGTTGTTAGGAATTAAGAAATTTTTCCAGAAGATGTAAGATAACCCTAATATTTCATTAACAGAAAGACTGTGAAATGATCTTGCAGAACTGTTGCAAATCTTCTTTATACACTGAATATAGCATAAAAAAGCTAACAGTCTGAAGAATTAACAGGAAGGGAGAATGGAAAAATATGATGTTTGTTCTTTCTGAAATGGAGGGTTTATTGCAGAAGGAATCCCATTTCTTCAATGAAGAAAAGAGAAACTAGTTTGCTAGACAATAAGATCACGCTGGGTTGACAATATATGTAGATCCAAAACGCTGAATTTTTGGATGGCAAACAAATTAAAAAGGCAAAGAAAGCCATCTATGAATTTTCATTAAGAATGAAATTATTCTCAGAGCAACTGGAGTATTCAAATCAGGACAGTCAAACTGCAGATATTGCAACTGAGTCTCTATCATCTTCTTCCACTAATGAATTAGATTTTGAGAAATATTTGAATAATATTGAAAAGGCTGAGGCAAAGCGAATGAAAATAAAGAACCAAGAGCCTTTAGATATAAAAATGAAAAAATACGAACAAGATTTATACAGGGCCTTTGAAGAAATAGATAAATATGATTGCTGTTGCAAGACATCTCTTTTAGAACTTGCAAAAATCTATCCTGAAAAGTTAAAGGAAGTAGCCCTAACAGTAATAGCTCTTCTTCCTACTCACATCAGAGTGGAAAGACTCTTCTCAATTCTGAAGTTTATCAAATGGGCTCTATGGACCTCTAACAAAGTAGATCTTGCCGAAGTTTTACTGTTTCTTAGAAATTATCAATGCCAGTTTTTCCATTTCATAATAAATGCTAATTAATATAAAAAATTTGCTAATAATCAATTTTTATCTGTAGCATCTACTACTTCTTTTATATTAAAAAAATAAGCTGTACCCATGTTTATATGTTTACATATATATGAAGGAGTCGGAGTCAGACATTTTCCCTAGCGTCTCCACAGCCCTGGTAATTCACTATTAATATTAAATATCATTCAAATAATTCATAGAGAATTTTTTCCTTTTCGTCTCAATTAACTTAAATACAGATATTTCTTAGCCTTACTGAAATAATTCCCTTTGGGATTTGATCCCTTTGGGATGAAGTCTTACAGTCTGTACCAATCAACTAATTACTTATGCATGTACCATGTATTTTTATTTATTTATTTACCATTTACAGTTGTAATTATAATTAATTACAACTAATTACTTATGCATGTACTATGTATTATTCTAGGAAACAGTAAACTTACTTTAGTAATACATGGTACATGCATAAGTAATTAGTTAATTATTAATACGTTGTACATGTATAATTAATTATTTAGTATATCCATATTTATATGGGCAATCACTAAATATGTGTATTCATAGTTTAATCTGATATTAACAATCAACATATACCTCAAATAATGATTGAGTGATTTCTGCAATTTGATTTATGTACAGTTTTGACCCCAGTTTAAACTCAGTTTCTTTATAAGAAATTTATAGTTTCTACTTTTTCAGGATCATACGATGACAAGAGTAAGTATAGCGATAGTAAGATGACAAGAGGTACTCATGTGAACAGTTGTTTTCGGTAACTCTTTTGTTAAGACTTCACCGAAAAGACCTTTCTCGATCTGTCAGGCACTTAAACACGAAATTCAGCTGATGATATCTGGTGATCATTCTGACAACTGTGGTGTCTGATTTATTCTGGCATGGTTGGATTTCTGGTGGCAAACTTGTAGCGGCTATATGGAAACACTGGCTCTGTCATACCAAAAAATCTTTACCCAGTCTTCAGGTGTTTAGTGAGACAAGTAACCCTACCTAGCTAAGTCTATAATATTGCAGACTGTTATGAAAATGAGAGCTCAAAATTAAAGGCATAAAAGCCTTCATTTTCTTGCTAAAATACACACAAAAAACTATTTACAATAAGGCATCAAAAACGTCAGTACTATTCATCTCTTGCTTTATGTCCAGCTTCCAGTACAGATTAATTGACTATTTGGCCATGGGAAAGCACTCTATGCCTATTTGCCTAAGAGAAGGGATATCTTCCTGGAGGACTTTCTAAGGAAAACTGGCTCATGTAAACTAAGCATGGGAAAAATCATGAAAACGATCAAGTGGCCAGTCTGCTTGCTGGAATTCGAACCTCAAACTGAACTACCAGTGTTCGGTGATTTTATCGCTTGGCCACTGGTGGGCCCCAGTGTGGAACCAGTTTCGACAAATAGAGCTGTTCTCTCAAGGAGTAGAGAAAAAAACAAAATCTCTTGACAAAAATTCTGACATCCCTAACTTTTACAGCCTGCTTCAGGTGCATCAACTCTGGTGACAGTCCTGTTGAAATTTAGCATTTTTCTATGTGACATAAACAATAAGTATTGTCATGTCTGTATATATATCATCTTACTAGATTAAACTTATGATCTAAAATCTTGAAATTTCTGAGATCCGAAATCATTGAAGTCCCCATGATTCCAGATCTTGGACTTTGTACTGTACAGTTCTTTTTCAGAAGTGTGCTGCTGTATGTACTGCAATGTTATTTATGTCTGATATAATTCTTCATAGGTGAAAATTTGATAAAATTTTCATTTAAGTTCTGTTCAGTACAGTATCTAATGAAAGTGGGAAACAGTGCTGAAATGTTGGTGCTACAATCAAAGGCCAAGTTAAAATATATAAAAATTAAAGAATTATCTTTTATGTGATCAGAAATATGTTTTGATATATTTTTCATGCACTTTACATAGATCGAATCTGAGAGTTGCTTGTCTTTCACTTGTGCAGTAATTTTATTTTTAAAATTAATCAAATAATGCATTTGAAATATTGATCAAACATTCTCATGCAATTTGGGCATCAGTGTACATAAAAATTATCTCCTGCATTAACTTATGTTGGCCCGCAAGTGGCTGAGCAGTAAAAGTTGCTGAATACTGGTAGTTTGATTCCAAGCAAACAGCTTAGCTGTAAAGGCATTTTTTTTTTTTTTTTTTGTATTTTCCTGTGTGTAACAAGGACACGAGCCAGTTTTCCTTAGAAATTCCTTCACAAATCCCTTTAGGATGGCCTTATGGCTGATATGAATCGGCTAGGGGGGTCGGGGCTGCGCCTATATTTTTACCTCTCTTTAGGCAGATATCCTTCATGTATTTCCCATAATCAAATAAATAAAACCATCAAACTTTGATACCATGATTGCTGTGTAGTTAATAAATAGTCTTATATCAGTACATGATTTGTGGTTTTTTTGAAGATCAGTGTTCTATTTTTTATATCACAATTTCAGGGCAAATCAAAATAAGTTTTTAAGTTTATTTTGCTTAACTAAATATTCCTCTTGTCACCTGTCTTCAAATAATAGAGATTCCCATCACTTATATATATACGTATGGATTTAAAATAATCAAAAATTAGAATTGCAAAGGATCAACATGATTACACAACTAAAACAGTTTGTGCATGATACACTGCAAGATTAGTTTGGGTCATGCATAATGATATGTATCCATAATCACACATTTAATAGTAGTCAATATTTTGTCATTGAAATTCACTTTGTGCTGAACAAAATTCTTAAACGTGACTACTAAAAAAGACTTAAAAGACTATTAAAAGTGACATTATGAAAAGGTTTGAAATTTATATTTTCCTAACTTTTTCAGAAATGGCATCTCCTTTCCAAGGATCTCGTGGTGTTCAGCAACACATGCCGTCCCATCAGTCATCTTATCCTGGATCTCAAGGTCTGGTAATGGGATCGAATACAGCCATGGTACCTGTTGGAGTACAGGAAGGCCAGGGAGGTATGGAAGCACCTTCAGGAATGAGTCAAGGAGGCATTCAGCAACCACAACCACCTAAAGATTTTAATATGGCTCTATTATGTCGAATTGGACAAGAAACAGTTCAAGAAATCGTCGCTAAAACTACTGAATTATTTCAGACATTGAAAGGCTTACAGGTATGTTCTGCATCAACGTTATTATTAATGAATTTAAAATCAAAATGCAGAGATTATTTTGTAGTAAAATTTTAAAATAAATAAATAAAATAGAGAGGGGGGAATTTCTGTAAACCGTAAGCATTTCTGACTTAAGTGAAGTTAATATTTGATAATTGCAATGATTGAGTAAATTTCCTTATTATATTAGTATATATGTTACTGAAGTACTTACCTGTATGTATTAGCACAACTTCCTCAGTATAGTTGTCGATTTTTTATGAAAACATCAAAAGAAGAAGACAGGGACTGATCTATGATTCAAAAAATTTGTGAGGTTTATCTATTTATTTTAACTAATAGTTCATTTTAAGTTGAAAGACTTTCCTGTTACCCTCTTTTGACCCATGTTTTTCATGCCAGACTGTAAATGAGATGGTGAGAGTTTATTCAGATTAAGGTAGAAAGAAGTGCTATTTAAGCAAGAGTTTCGGAAGTTAGTTTTAGAGCATGTCTGTGTATTCCAAGCCACTTTGTGCTGTGATTATTAGCGACTTGCATTAGTGACATTGAGTGTTTTAGCCATTTGGCTTTGTCTTACCAGTTTACTACAAATCCGAGCCCTTCCTGCACATTAAAGTATTCTGTGAGCCATTAGGCTAATTTTCAACACCTTGAAATTAGTATTTATTGCATATTTCTGTTAAGCCAGAGGTGCTTATTGTAACCCAAGTTGGGTCATTTGTTAATTTTATGTTTGAATAAAAGGGTCTTATACACCCTTATTCTGATTTCTGTTTTGTTTCACAAGGCTAGAAGATAATTCTCCAATAGAACTTTCAAAGTCTATGTTCCTAAAGAGACATACTTTACAAATTGTTTATTATATATAATGTTGTATGATCTTAAATTCATTTAGTGCGAAAATAAGTTACTACTAGCGCAATTGCTGCAAAGTAAGTTAATAATAATTTATTTACTAAATAATATTGATTATTGATTATATTATCTCCTAAGTTTAATTATAGTAGGGATTATCTTAAAAGAGCGAATCCATACTAGTAAGTTATATTTTGAAAGATGTTTTGAAGTAACTTGAAAGTTAATTGTTAAAAATGTTTTAACGGGGACTGGAATTAAATCATGAATAACAAAATTTCAATTGTAAAAGGAATAAATTAAAGGCAAGAATTAAATTAAATGCATGTAATCATTGTCATTGATCGGAAATTAGTTGACTTTTCAAGGGGAACAAACCAACTCCCGTTCAATGAACAATAATTAATAAATTAAATACGAAGGTGTTTCATCTTTACTCGAGCAATAAGGTTAAGCCAAACCGGCAATTCAAGTCAGGCCAAATATTTCCGTGAATGGAAGGGATTATGAACCAGTGTTGATATTCAAAGAACCTATTATATACATATTTTTCATTTAAATTAGCTATTAATCCCTAAAATCAACCAATAAGGAAATTTGGTGATCCTACTTTTAGAACAGATTCAAAGTACTTGCTTCCTTTACTGATCTTCATGCAAAATACTGTATTCCTTCAGAAATTTTGCTGCAGTTACTTTGGTTGCAGGAAAATTGGTTGCAAGCACATTATTTTAACATTGCATTTTAAGATAAAAGAATCATGATCTTGTTTATAAAAACTACTGAAATTTGGAACACAACAAAAAGAGCAGGCATGAGAATGTGGCATCGCTTTCTAAAACTGAAGAATTGTTATGCAGGAGGTGCCAGAATTCGGCATATTATGAAAATTTAGTGACTTCTCTTGAGGCAGTTGCGCTAATACATTAGCACTTTGTAATGTTAACAAAACATAAATGTGTTACAAATGTAATTTTATTTTATTTATTTAATTATTATTATTTTTTTTAATAAAAAGCCTCCAAATGGTACTGCTCAAAGTCTGAATGGTCAAGAAGAAAGGAAGACAAAGCTACAGGAAAATCTCCGAACAATTGCTACATGTTTTAAGAAACTTCGCCGCATTTATGAAAAATGTAATGAAAATTGCGCAACTATGGAATACACTCATATTGAAGTAGATGTAAGTTTCAAAATTTACTGTTCTTAAAAATTATTGTAATTTTATTCCAATTTTATAATTTAATTTAATTCAGTTTATCACATTTATCAATCCTGTGGGTGCTATGGCTTTTGGAATCAGCTCATGAAGACCTGTGTTTAAGCATTTATCAGCAAATTTGTTCATCACTAAAGAAAATAAGAAAATGAAATATCTTTAATTATAAGCTATCGTATATCATATTATGTATATCAAGTGACCAAAAAATCCCATGACTGGATAAAGGCAGTCGTACCACTAAGGAGGTTAGTCAGTTTGTTGAATGAATTCCATTTTTGAATTATAAAATACAAATAATAATATTAAAATAAAAATAAGTTAAATATAAAAAAATCTAAAAGCTTTCAGATGTTACATTACGTCCAAAGGGGCTTTTTTAACGTTTTGTGTGTTACCTTTATTTATTAAATATCATGTTATTTGCATTTAAACCATTAAATTCAGTTCAACAGAAATATCGTAAAATAATTTTAAAAAATGAGCATATCTTTAGAATTTCCGATATACAGTTCCGCGCACTGGAGATAAAAAGGCCTCCCCTTCTGTAGAGTGTTGCCACACTTTGAAATCATTTTGTTAATCAAAAACTCATAAAAATTTTATAAAAATATGAAACAGACAATAAAACAAATTCCAAATTTGGGCTTGCAGATGCCCATAATCGTGTGGAGGACTACACTATTCAAAATTTGATTAAACAACGTGTTGCCATTGTTTCATCACAATGCAAGAAACATACATACATTTATGCAGATTATTTCTTGGAACATAATACAGAGCGATTATATTTATTGGCAACAATTTGAAAAGTGAAACGACTTTTAGAGTGAACCAACACAAAATGCCAAAATGAAATTACTAGTCCTTCTGGGCAAATTGCTCCTTTGGACTTATAACAATACAATAAGCACATTTTGTTGTAATTAATGTTATGCTTTCAACATTTTATTTAAGAGTTATGGAATTTAATTTATGTAAAAGACTCTGTAACCTCATGAATTAGATTTGCTTGTAGCTTTTCATATTCTTCAAAATTTGTCAACCAAATTAGTTATTTTAATTTTAATAATCATTTTGTCATCTAAAATTGATTGCTGCTTCTGTTTTCTTCTTTTGTGAAATACTGAAGTCAAACTTTAAAAGAAGGTTTTAAATATCTTATATTTATCAAGTGTGTGATTTTATAGGTTGGAAAACTTTAATTAAAATACATGAGATTAGTAAAAAATTATTTATGGGTTCCCCCCTGCCGATAATTGGCGGTATGTGGACACCACGTTTGTGCAATTCTTTGACTTGTTATTTTGGCTTTAGTGATTTTTGTGTCAAAAATCGCCGCTACACAAATCCAAAATAACAAGTGATTTTTGTGCCAAAAATTGCCGCTACACAAATCCAAAATAACAAGTCAAAGAAGTGCACAAACTCGTCAGCCATGTACACATCGACCTATTTTAACTTAAAAAAACATCGGAAAATTGGACAAACTAGGCATTGTGCACTCCCTTGATTTTGTCCATGTACACATCGATCTGTATTCAAGTAAAAGCAGCAGGTTACAAAAAAATAAAGTCTGAAATATGGATGGCCAGTCATCAGGATGATGTATTAACCAGACCACTCATAATTTTTTGTAAGCTTTTTTCTCACATAGTATAGGAATGAATAATACAGTCAAAAGTCGTTAATCTGGACTCGTCGGGACTTCGGCGATTCCGCATTATAGATCATCAGTTTAAATCTGGAAAGACGGCATGCAGAAATTATAAAATTAAAAATTTACATTACGCATATTCGAAATTAGAAAATTGCAACCAGAAAACTATTTGATTTGTATTCGTGATATTTATAATGACGAGGAATTTGATTTAAATCATATCAAAGATGGAGTACATCGAGATGAAATACTACATTATAAGCCGAATAAAATAAAAACATCTGCCCTGAAGATAAGGATAGTGCTGACAGATCAACGTCCAGTTCATTGCGTGCCGTTCCTCCCCGCGCAGAGCAGCGTGAAATTCATAAAAAGATTTCGGAAGGGTTAGAGAAACATAGCAGCCTTTATCCATTTTTTGCAGCAATTCCACTTTTTGTTTGATGGACATTGAGACATGCTTTCCCTTTGTAGATTCAGCATCGGAAATTCTATATGACATAATCGAAAGTTCCAACTTACTTTTATAAAATTGCTCTAACAGTCTGCAAAAAATAATAAGCCGGTTCCAATTCGAAGATTAAGGAACAACGCAATCTGCAACATTAAGTGAAATAGGTAATTAGATAATTTTAGCTTAGCTTATACTGTCCGTTATACATTAAACGCACATGCATCAACGTATTATGTACATGCATAAAGGTATTACACGCATGTGTCGAAGCATTATGCGTTGACGCATGCGTAGAAAGTTTGTAGCTTTGAGGTCCGGATTATAGGTGTCTGAATTAACGACTTTTGACTGTATAATACTTAAGCAAAAGGAAGTGTGCCATTAAATTAATTTTTTCCCCAAATAATTTCACCCCCCCAACGAAACATCTTTATCCACAAAAACATTGAATCGTCGTGCATGTTATGCACGTTTATATAGGCTTTCAGCACCTATACGAAAAATGAAAATGTAATTCATCTTTTCATTTTAGGCTCTGAAATACTTCTGGGTATCAGAGCATTTTATTATCTTATTTCCTTATCTCTGGAAACAATAAGTGAACCCCAAAAATTAATGTATAATTTTAGTTGAATGTTGCACATACTAATTTCTGTTTCATTGGCATAGTGGGCAGAAGGCTACGATGGCAATCCTGTATCAACAAACCATTAGCGAAAGACAAACCATTTATATGGTTTTAAATCTGAAAGCTGTTGCCACGGATTCTGAAGAAAGTGATAAAGATTTTAATGATTATTGAAAGTGAAAAGATTTCAATTGGTTACTTAATGGGAATTCTCAAAACGGCAGCCATACACAATAAAACTTTGTAACTGAAGAAGAAACTGTCTCTATGAAATTAAAGAGAAAATATTAGCATAAAGCCTTTTTTACCCCCCCTTTTTTTTTTTTTTGAAAATTTTTTATTCTTTTGAGATCATAAATACCTCATTATTTTACAGACAACCTTTCATATGTTTAATTTTAAATCTAGTGAGGTTACATGAAGAAGCATGTAATCTCACTAGATTTAAATTGTTGATCTAAAATATGGAAATTTTGTACATCCGGAATTGCCAAAGTCGGAGGGATTCAAGATCTCAGATTTCATACTGTATTGCCTTTTTTACATAAGACTGAAAAAAAGGTCTGCTTCTTGTAATTAAGGTTTTAAATTGTTTTTTATATTCGGTAAATATAAACAATATAATAACTGAATTTCGTAATTCATGTAATTATAACTATCAGTGTATTTTATAATTTGTATAACATTTCTTCAGAGTCTAGTTCCTCTGAAAGATGAGATTGATTCAAGGCAAGAAGACAAAAAACCAACTGAGGCTATTAAATATTTGACAGAAGAACACCGGGACTTAGTTGAGGTATGTTTGGGCCATTTTTTATCTCCTCCTTTTTTAAACGCAGAAAAATATATAAGTAAAATGATTTCTCTTCAATAATGTAGATATAACCTATGTTTTTTCAGATAGTTTTTCTAAATATTGATGTCCGAGTTGTCAATCTATGGGCTTTGTACTGTATCATGCTATATCTTAATATCCTAGATAAAATTCCTTTTCTTAAAACATCAAGGTTGATTTTATTCCAGTCCTTCACAATCTTTCAGAGTCCATGCAATGTTTTGGGATGCCACTTATAAAGATTTTTTAAAAAAAAGTCTAAATGAACAATAATCCACGGAAGACACATCAGAGGACTTGGTAGGATGCATTTAAAGGGAATGGTTTAAACTTGAGTTTCATTTCTCATTTTTTCAAAAAGTAGAGCTGTAAGATTTAGAGGTATGGCTCGGAGCCTCATCCTGATGGAACTCAATACACAATGAAGATTGTTTGGATTAATAGATGGAATTTCTTCTTTAAAAATAGGCATTAAAACATATTTCTGATAGTAATCCAAATTATTTGATATTTTTTCCTACTTTCCTAAAATTTTCTGTTATAAAAGAATCCAGTAATAACCATAAAACCTTTAGAAAAACTTTCTATGTTTTCTCCGACGCAATATATTAAGTCTTTTTTCTCGTATTTTTCTGTAGAAAATCGATCTTTTTCTATTGCAATCAGATAAATATATCCAAATCTCATAGATTGTAACTATATATTTCCATTTTTCATGCCAAATAATTTTCATACGTCAATCTGCACACAGTCTTACACCGAGAAACATGTTTTGGTATTAGGCGTGAACATCGTATTTTTTTGTTTTGATTAGGTTTAAATCATATTTTATAATTTTGTTCACAGTTCCTACAGAGATATTTAAAGATTTCTGCAATAGCTCTTTGGGTGCTGGATTTACCTTTAAAACATAAGATGCGACTTTAGATTTAATAAGAGCTGTATGCACCTTTATTGGGTATGCATTTTTTTCCTTTTTCCCAGTCTGTAATGGCTTCGTGGTTCAATAAGGCACCATTTAACAAGACGAAATGAACATTTATTAAAAATATGGTTCAAAGCATAATAGTAAACTCAGAGCAGTACGTCACTTCTACAGCATTGTGAAATCTACAACCTTCCTCTTCTGAGGCTAACATGCAACTCTCATAAAATAAATTAATCCTTCTTGGAGAAGAGGCTACACTCGCCAAGCATGCTCTGTTGATCGCCAAACAGTCACCAGATACTACACAGTCAGATGTAAACTTTGATGTTTCTTTCCTTTCATATTAATTATGTTATTTATTTTACGTCTTGAAATATTAAAACCAGGCTTTTCACATTTTTTTTAAATAAGTGAATAAGGATATTTCTCTTCGGGCAGTGCAGAAATATAGCCTTCGATCTATTGCGTATTTTATGGCGACTTTTGAAGAAAAGAGTATTTTTAATGCTGATAATTAAACCTTATTTCAGTTTGATGCTAGTCATGTTTGTATTTTAAAATTAATATTTAAGTTCATGGAGAAAATCAAAATTGTTTAAAAAATGTGTGAACACCATCTGTAAATGTAACCATAGATGGTGAGATTTAACATTCATTAGTATCCAAATTTGTGCATTAAAACTAAGGCAAAGGTTCGCATTTCCTTTAGTTCAACTGTTGTGTCATTCTGTGAACATGATTATATTAATGCTTATCTTTTTTACGTTAAATCTGGGAATTCTTCAGTGTATTTGTTCTCTTTGGATTCTGGATAGCACATTGATAAAGAACTTGGTATGTGCTCCGTACTTAATAGTTTTAATTCTATAACCCAGAAAGATTGGGAATCAAGGCAACAGATGGGTTAAATGCCAAAATCCAGGCATTTGTAAATAAGTAAATAAAGTCAAAAATTTAAATTATATAAAAATGAAAATTAAAGATATTTGAGAGTCTCTACTTTGTAGGCATGATGGAATATACTTTTTTATTACCTTGGAATATACTTTTTTATTACCTTTCATTAGTATGAATATGTATTAGATGCACATAAGACTCACTTAAAAGTAATTATGCCATATTGTTTTTGTTCAATATATGTTATGTTAATTAATAGTATAGATTACTTTAAAAATATGTTTAACCATTATAGTTTATTGTCTTGATGTGGTTTCTGAAATAATAAGCATGATTAATTTGTCATAATGAATGCTTGCAAGATAACTTTATTTGCAATCAGTTTACACTGAAGATCTACAGATTATTTTGCAGAAAGCATATAAGGCAAGATGTTGTATATAAAGTAATCTGCTAATTTTATAGGTATTAACTTATTGTAAGTAAATGACTGTGTCTGTCTAGACAAGAACAGTGAGCAAACTATATCTACTTAAGTGGTTAAGATGCATTATGTTTTTAAATGGATGTATGCAAGTTTATAAATTGCATTATTTTAAAATTTTTAAAGGTACTTTTTGTTAAATTATTGCAGTTTTTTTTTTTTTTTTTTTTTTTTTGCATTTAATCATAATATGAGTAAGTTATTTTTTTACTGCAAAAAAGCAATGCAGTTTTATGATAACTAAATTCAATTACTGCCTGCAGCTCAAAATAATAGTTGCCCACCAGTGGCCAAACAGTAAAGCCGCTAAACACTGCTAGTTTAGTCTGGGGTTCTAATCCCACAAACAGGCTGGCTGTGTGGGCGTTTTCTTGGTTTTCCCTACGTGTAATGTGTATACGAGCCAGTTACCCTCAGAAAGTCCTCCACAAAGACATCCCTTCCCTTAGAAAGATAGCCCATGAGACTTTGCTGCAATGACATAAACCAAACCAAAATAACAGCTGCATTTTGTCAATGCGTGTGTTCACAGTGCAGTAATTATTTTTGAATGGAAATAGTATAAAAGCCAAAGAGATCAAGTTATAACAAATAACTGCAAACAAGCCTTCTTCTCTTGCATTTTGCCCACTTGTTGATGTGTGTCTGTATTCAGAACATCATCTTAATGAAATGAGTTTGAAAAACATAAATAGAAATTTATTATTGTGTTATATGTGCATAAGTGAAATCTAGACAATTCTGATATATTAATTACTAAACAGCCAAACATTAATAATAAAAATTGGTATTGCATTATTATTAGATGGAATGTATTAGATGGAAAGCAAAATGAGTATTTTGCAGTACACAGTTGTCATACAGCATGTCAACTCAAATTATTAAGCTGACTTTACTACTTCTCACCCAGATTATCTTTATATATTCAAATATTGGGAGCAAAGCAAAAATGAGATTGTATTGGCATGTATAAAACATTCAAGATGTTTTCTCAATTTAATAATGAATCAAATGAACTCATTCTGCTCAAAATTGGTAATTAATTATAAAATTAGTTTGACATAATGAGAAGCAATGCGACTTCTGATATTAGTTACAAATTGATCAGGATTTCTTTAAGATGAAAAGAAAACTTAAGCTTTTATTGCTGTACAAGCAGTTATAATTAATTTTCATTGTAGTTAAAATGAATGTTTCTTAGATAGTGGAAAAGTTCTGCATATTATTATGAATAACTTGGCTTACTGTTTGTGTAAATTTATGACTTTTTTAATTTTAAAAATGACAGGAGGAATTATATTTTAAAATTTTTGTGATTTTTAATATTGTTATATTTTTAAGTTATTTTTCATTAATCCAGACTTTCATTAGTCTGGATAGTTATAATTTCCAGTTAATATGAATTGATAAGGTTCTATTGTACTTTTAATATACTTTTTATATGTGTGTCTGTTGTAATGTTTCCTATATGGCAGCTCAACGTGCCAGATTTAAAAAATAGTCTGAAGATTTTAACACTTTGTATCTCATGAAACAATACACAGAGGGTGTCCACACACTTTAGTAATGATTTTGCAAAGATTTATATATAAACAAAACTTAGAATTTTATTTTCTGATATGTTCAGTCTGATAGCCCTTTTGTTGAATTATCATATTAGGTCTTGATTTCCAAAATTTGTCCTTTTCTTAAATCATCAAGGTTGATTTTATTCCACTCCTCCTTTACAATGTTCCAGAGTCCAAAGGGAGTAGCATCAATTACCATTTTTTTCTAACAGAGCAGTAGATTTAAAAGTATGGCTTGGAGCCTCATACTGATGGAACTTGACGCAGTGAAGACTGGAATTTCTTCTTTAAAAATAGGTGCTGAAACATATTTCTGATAGTAATCAGAATTAATTTTGATATTTTTTCCTACTTTCCTTATTTTAAGTTTTCCATTCTAGAAGAATCCAGTAATAACCATAAAACATTTAGGAAGAGCTTTCCTTGCTTTCACTGAACCAACATATTAAATATTTAATTTTGTTTACAGTTCCTACAGAGATATTTAAAAATTTTGCAATAGCTTTTTTGGGGGGAGCTGGATTTTCCTTTAAAACATGAGATGCAACTTTAGATTTAACGAGAGCTGTATGTACCTTTGTTGGTTATGCATTTTTTTTTTTTTTTTTTGTCTTTTTTCCAGTGAGATGTAAACTTTGATGTTTCTTTCCTTCCATATTAATTATGTCACTTATTTTATGTGTAGAAATATTAAAACCACGCTTTTCACATCTTTTTTTAATAATCGAATAAGAGTACTTCTCTTCGGACAGTGCAAAAATATAGCCTTCAGTCCATTGTTTATTTTTTGGCGTTAAAAAAAGAATATTTTGAATGCTGCATACGACAATGAAATCTTACTGCAATTTCATGTCACTCATGTTTGTATTTTAAAATTAATATTTAAATTCATGGAGAAAATCAAAATCGTTACTGTAATGAGTATGAGAATCAATCATTCAGATGGAAAGGTACTATGCTGTACAGTTGCCATAGTTGTTTATGTGATAGCTTAGAATGTCATATATTTATTTATTGCATTGGTCATCTAAGGAGTATTGCTGGCAGCTTTGGAAGGAAGGGATGGTGCTGCTGTCGTAAGTGAACAAAGTGAAAATAGGGCTGGCAGTTTGTTCAGATGTGTGTGTGTGGGGGGGAAGTAATTTGTATTAGAAATTTTACACAAAGAGAAATCAGAAACTGTAATAAAATTCTTGTAAACCAAAGGTGAACACTTTTGGAGAAATCTAAAAGTCTAAAATATTTTTGGTTTGAAATCAAGAGCAAGTGGAGTAAAAGGATCATTACTTTGCCTGGCAGCATTTGTCAACATACTACTGAATTGAATTTTTGAAGTATTTTTACCAAGAATAATTGAAGTAGCCTTCACGTAGCACTGACCTAAAGTATTACATTAATGATGCCTTTCAACTTCTGTTTGTTTGAGCTATATAGATAGAATTCACTTCAAGTCAGACAATCATCTGAACAGAAGGCTGATTCTGTTTGAAGCATAATTTGATTTGGCTTCTTTCCAAGTGATAATTGTCAATGTGCTGTATCGTAACTCACATGTTTGACAGCAGCGTCAAAACAAGTCTACAAATTTTATTATGCTGAGGAATGCAGGTTTGCATCTGTCATCACTATGGGCTTTGGGTATCTTATAAGTGACAGTATGACTTTGCCCAGCTTTGTTCCAGTTTTCAAGGAGAATCCTCCACCAGGTAGCAAGGGTCTCCCTCACTCTTTTTTCCTTACCACCAAACCACCAAACCACCTGAGAGGACTTTTAGCTTCCTGCATAATTTCATTGCATGCCATAAAGGCACTAGACATTTACAAACAACCAAGCCTTCTCTGAGATTAAAACCCATGCCTAGCAGTATGACAGCCAGCAGTCCTGACCACTGTGCTATCCAGATTGGCAGTTGTCATTATAAACTTGGCTTACTTGGCTTGCACAAGCATGTTTGTCATCTAATCATATTTGTTTTTTATTTGCATTGGATTTTACTATTTAGGACTTGGAAGAATTTTGCAATACATCATTCTTATTTTGTTGATCCGGACACTAGACGTCATATAAGGTTGCTATTCATATTTCTAGCATTGGTAACAATAAGTGTTACTAGGTGACTGCAGATGATTCCAGTTAAAGGTTATTTTTAAACCTGACTTCTTCAGAATGTTTTGCCAATTTTTGCTTGATTTGTGTTGTTTTCAGTAAACTGAAAAATTCATCTCTTGCAAAAAATGGAACTGACACGTGAACATTTTTGTGCGACTATTTTTCATAACTTTCGATGTGGATTATCAAAGCAAGAGTGCTTAGTTCTTTATATAGCAATAAAGCTTCATCCCACAGCATTGCAAAAAACTGGTATAATGAATTCCATTCGTGGTCGACGTTCGCTCCAGAAAGAATTCCGTGAAGGTCATCCAAAATCAGTTGTTGTGCCAGAAAATATCAATGCTGTTCGTGAACTGATAAAGCAAAATCGTCATGACATACTGTGAGATTTAGACATCTCTGAGCATTGGTATGAGAAGCATCAATAAGATATTACATGAACATTTGGCTGTAAAAATGATTTTTTCTTCCATAATCTGAGAGATGCTCAAAAGAAAGCTCATGTCGATTGATGCAAGGAAATGTTGAAAAAATACGTTCAAGGTGCATCAAAGGCTGTTTATAACATCTACACAGGTGATAAATCATGCATCTGTGCATATGAGCCAAAACAAAACGGTGGTCGACTGTATTCCAAGCTGTGCCAAATCCAACAAAAGTTGTTTGCGGAAGAAGCACATCGAAGCAAATGTTTGCCTGTTTCTTCTGCATTCTCAGTCACGTGGTGACGGTGGCATTGCAGCAATGCAGGACAGTTATTTCCAAATGGTACATAGCCATTTGTTTCCCAGAAGTCATTGGAAGAATTTGAAAAAAGCAGAAGAGGCAAACCATTCTTTATCATGACAATGCAAGCTCTCACGCATCGGCTCAAACAAAGGAATTTTTGTCATGCCAGAATATCATATTGATGGTTTATCCTCCATACAGCCCTGATTTGACACCCAATGACTTTTTTTATTCCCGCATATCAAAAATAAATATTGTGGCCAGCGATTTGCTACACCCAAAGAAGCAGTTGATGCATTCAAAATGCATGTTTTGAAGTTACCTCAATCGAAGTGGAAAAAGTTGTTTGAAAGTTGGTTCAGACACACCCAAAAGTGTATTGATCTTCATGAAGAATAATTTGAAAAATAATAAAACCAGTTTCAATTATTAAGCATTTGTTTTTTCATTATTAGGTCAGAAATATAAATAACAACCCTCGTACCCAGTTTTTTTAGTGTTTGTGGTATAGTGCAGAATGGCACAGCAAGCATTTAAAGAGGCACTACACACCAACATTTAGATTCTTATTTAATTGAATTTATATAGTACTACATGCATTCCAAAGGAGAATTTTGCTAAATGTCATTTTTGATTTCATGCCTGCTGTTTAGTCCTATATGATTCTTTTTTTTAATGCAATGTTTATTGATTACTGTTGTTTTTTAGTTTAGTTTTGCATGTTTTATTTAGTTATCCCAAAAGCAATAAATATAACTTTACTAACTTTTCATAAACTGCCTTTTTTTCTGTGTTTATTTTTCTTTCATATTAAATTTTTATTTATTTTTGAAAGATAATTCCAGCAATGAAATCAGCGGAAAAATATCCACAGAAATTTAGTTAAAAGCAGAGAAAACTTTAAAAACAAAAAAAGTTGGGGGAGGAAGCATCTAATATCGCGCTAAAGGCATGGAAAAAGATAAGTGAAAATGTGGCACCAAAATGAACGTTATGGCTTTAACAGGAAAGAACTAATTCATTTCTCAATTAAGGACTTGGTGTAGATCAGCGGTTCTCAACCTTTTGACTAATTAAAATCAGAATAACAACCTTGTATGTTAAATGTACACGTGTTAACATATGTATACTAAATACGAGGTTGTTATTGCGATTTTAATTGTCACATTGGCATGTTTCTCTTCTATTCTACTTCTGACTAATGCGTACCATCTTAACAAAAATAGAAAACCTTTAGTACCACCACTAGAAAGTACTACTACTACCACCACCACTCTTGAACAAAGCTCAGATCGCATAAATTTACGAGTGTTAGAGAAAATTTCAATCGGGATGTTGGGGTTTTAATTTTTTAACGCTGGTACGCACTCTTGCGTACCACTGGTTAAGAACCCCCCTCCCCGGTGTAGATAATTACCTGGCAGGACTGTTGTGGCAAATATTTTTGATTATCCTGATGTTATAAAGGATTTGTACTATAGCATCTTTTCATTTCAATGCTACTTAAACAAAATGAAGATAAATTATGAAGAGAGTAATGATTATACTATTTAGATACTAATGCATGCCTGAAATGTTATTGTAGCTCTAAATATTTTTATGGTTACATCATATTTAATTTTCAAAATTAACTTTCAATATTATTGTATGTTTTATTCTTTTTAATAATGAGCTGTTAATTTTTTTAGCAAGTAATGTTGCAAAATAGGCAATTAAAAGAAGTCATCGACAATCTGAGGACATTTATATGGGATATAAATACAATGCTAGCAGTGAGAAAACCTTGACATAGCAGTACAGTTATGTATTGTGAAGTTTTTATTGCAGAAAATATTAAGAAAAGAAGTATGTTTTGTCACTTTGCTACAAGTTTACTACAGTTTTAGTTTCTGAAAAATTTTGAGAAATGCTTTTTAAAATGAATTATGTACTAATTGTAATAAAATAGTTCTTGTCACTTATTTTGTCAAATACACAATTGTATTTCTTTGATTTTCTTTATAAAAAGTGTTATTTATAATAGAGTGAGTTTTAATTCTTCTTATTATTTTAATATTATTATGAATTTAATCTTGATTTTCTTTATAAAAAGTGTTATTTATAATAGAGTGAGTTTTAACTTCTTCTTATTATTTTAATATTATTATGAATTTAATCTTTGGCTTAAAGTAACTTTTCTTAACTTTTTCCCTAAATTAATAGTGAAAACATGAAAATACAATAATGATCAATTCTCATTTCATATTCTATGTATAATATTCAGCAGTCATAGTTGAGTGAATGAATGGATTTTTTTTATTGAAATTTATTATTTGAATGGATTTATTTTAAAGTTACTCAAAGCTGTAAGATAAAATTTAATTGTAGATTGTTAATAATTACTATGCAGTGATAGTTTTTGTTTTAAAGAGGTCACACCAAACAAATAATTTGGTAACAAAATGTAAAATGTTATATGAACTAACATAGAATTCATAAAGAATTTTATAAAATCTGCAAGCTTATGCTTTGATTTAAAATAAGTAATAAATAGTTTTTACTCAGTTATGCAATATATAAACCTGGAATATTGATAAAAATATTTGATCTACCGGAAAGTTCTGTCTGTTTTTGGAGTAAAACAAAATACAAATTTTTCTTACTGCTAATAAACTTTATTAAATAATATAATTGCCATTATTATTAATGATTTCTTGCCAGTGTGAGGGCAATTTATATGTCCTAGTTTTGAAAAATGTACCTTTTGATGCAAAAAATTTAACCAGCACTTGTTTGATATCTTCTTCATTTTTGAATTTTTTGCACTTCAAAAAATTTCGTAAGGAGAAAAACAAGTCCTATAGTCGGAGGGTGCTGAGTCTAGGGAATATGGTGGATGTGATAGAATTCCCCAGCCTACTTCTACAATTTTTTGACGAGCAAAGCAGCATGTGGCCTGGCATTATCATGATGTCCTTCGTATTGAAACATTGAACATCAGGAACATCAGCAGCCTCTTTTCATAGGCTGCTGTCTTTAAATTATCCAGTTGCTGATAATACTTCTCCAAGTTGAGCTTTTCATTCAGTTTTAAAAGCTCATAAATGTATAGGTCCTCAAATGCCCTACCATATACGCAGCATTCTCTTATTCAGAGTTAAATTTGGTTTAGAGGTGGAAGAGCTATGCTATCTTCCGAATATGGTCTGAAATGGTTTTCTGAGTTGAATTAAGCCTTTCTTTGATCTCTGATATTGTCAGAAAAGTATCTTGCTCCAACATGTACTTAACAACATCATCGTCAATCAGAGATGGTTGCTCAGAACATGGCTTATTAGAAAGGTCAAAATCACCTGTTTCAAATTTTTTGAACCATGTTCTGCATGTCTTATCAGAAACTGTACCTTCACCAAACACTTTCAATAAATTTCTTCATGCTTCTGTAGCATTAAATGAACTTTATCAGTAGCCATGGCTACACTATTGCTTCACTCTTAAGACTAACATTAATCAACTTTGTTTTAGTTACTTTGTTACATCAGTATGTATACATTAAGTGATAATAATAAAGAGCCTAATAAACAGGTGCTTACGTGTTATAAAAACTTACAGAACTTTCACATAGACCGAATAACAGGGTACCCCTTGGCGAAAATTGACGATTTTTTTTTACGTGCTTACTTGCAATGCTCTCCCAAGTAAAGTAACGTTCAAAACATAATTAAAACAGAAAAATATTGTAATCTCAATAACTGAATTTTAAAATAAAACAAGAAAATATATGTTATCTAATCTGGGCAGTATCGACTTACCTTAGGAGTAAGGAAATATCGACTTACCCTATTTAGAAATTTTTTTGTCTTTGGGGTATCACACATAGAATTCTTTAACAGTATCCAAAAACTGTTTAAAATTATCTGAACTCAAATGTGTGTACATCCGTTGCCACATAAATTCACAAAAGTAAAAATCAAAAATATCCTCCTTACTACCGGTGGCATTCCTTTTTAAAAAATCCCTTTTTATTACATCCCATATACCTTCCATTGTGTTCGTATGCGCTCCGGTTTCCAAATCCTTAAATCTTGCTGCATAATTTACCGAGAGGTGAACAAAGCCATTTAAAATCTTCATTCACACCAATGAATTTTTTTTGTTTTCCCATTTGTTCCAAAGTGTACAGAAACTTCAGGTTAATTGTACCACTAGCAGGCATTTTATGGTGTAAAGCGCAATACAAGCAACGTACTTCCTAACCAAGATCCAATGCATAAATAAGCCCTATGAAATAATTTTCCAACAGTCGCAATCACTCATTACAACCAATCACATCATAATAGGATTTCCGTAACATTCAGTGAAATACTCAGGTTACCATAAATGAAAAAACAACTTGGTGATAATCCAAGGGATACCCTAAAATATAGATTACCCAAATATTAAAGTAAATGATTGAATTTTGTGGCTCTTTCAATATGCATTTGCAAATTGCTTCTTCTGTCAGATTCTTTTTAAATTTTTTTCTAAAATTGATGTTAATTTCAATTGGATTTTGTCTAATTCCAAGTGTAGGACCTGTCTGCCTATTAAGTGATTCAGTTAAAAATTGCCATTATTTTTACGGTCATTGCTTATTTCTACAAAGTGTTATTTTTAATATAACCACAGCAATATAACTATAGAAATGTAACTCTATTCAGATTGAAAATATCTTGAAATACAGGGTGTGCCAGGGAAACTTCCTTATTTGAAACGCGCACCATCTAGCAACATTTATTCCAAGATGGGTGGGGTGGCGCTCATTGAAAAGAGCGGTACCTAAAGTTTTATGTCATGTAGGTTTAGTACCGATCATGCAGTGGACGAGAGAGGAGTGCGCGTTCTCCGTGGAGTCATACTTTTCAACGTAGTGCATTTTCATCCATATAAATTGGCAGTGGTGCAAAAACTTAATCCATGTGATTTTCTTTCACGAAAAAATGAATGCAAAACCGTTCTTGACAATACCCCTTGTGTTCTTTAGTGAGGAGGCTCATTTTCATCTTTCCGGTTGCAGCATGCATTCAGCAAAATATGCAATAATGGAGTGGCACAAATCACCGAGAATTTCATGAGCAGCCCCTCCATACAGAACGTGTGACTATTTGGTGTGCATTGTCCAGAATAGGCATCATTGGACCATGATTTTTTGGAGAACATTTACCTGGATGCCTTATCTCCTTACGAGGCGATTTCAGTGGCCAGCACGCTCGGCTGATTTAGCCCCGTGTGATTTCTTTTTGTCGGGCTATCTGAAATCTCTAATGTGCAAAGACCCTGGCTCAATTGAAGAACAATATTCAAGCTGCTCGTTTTATATTCAACAATATTCAAGCTTGAACAATATTCAAGCTGCTCATAACAACATACTCGTTAATATGCTGGTAAAAGTGGAAATAAACTTCAAAGCTCAATTATCTCAATGCACTGACCAGAATGGAGGCCACCGTAATGATATTATTTTTAAACTGTAATTAAAAAAACTTTGTCTCTCTATAACTTGGAAAAAAATTAAACTGATATTGCTTATACTATTTGTGTTATTCATTTTTAAAATAAAGTAGTTTCCCTGCCACACCCTGTATATTTACATTTTGAGCCATGTGAATCTTAAGATTTGAATATATAAAAATTTTCAGAAGATATGGATTTTTATGAATTGCTAATATTAAATCTGTGTTTACAAGATTCAAAGTGCCTTGTACATAAAGCAGACCCATTTTAATAGTAAGTGTGAAGAACTAGAAAGTTTGTGAATAAAACAGGGTTCCTAATAAATAAAAATTTTTAAAAAGTTATATGTATGTGACACATATATTCTATAATAATATATTTATATTTTATCATTTTTTATAAATATGTAGTGATTAATGCATGAAAGTAATTTTCAATGTGCAGAAAGAACTTTTCTCAATGCAATTAATTAATCCATCAACTATTGTAGTAGTGAAAGCATTTCAAGCAATACAGTTAGGCATAAATTACACAGGACATTATGTTTTACATTAAATGTTTTTTAATTGGGAATAAATTACATCTCAAGCAATACAGCATAGGAAGTAATTATTCATCACCTTGCATAAACTTGATAAAAAAAAAATCTGATGTGTACACCACATGTCTTCCTTGTACAGAATATTAAATTATACACAGTTTTTCTTGCATTTTATTTAAACTTATTAGATTGAATTAAACCTACTTCGCCGACAGTGCATAAACCACAATAGAATAAATGCATTCTTTAAAATTCACTTTGTTTACCATAGCGACACTCTGGCGCTAGGTTTACTTAACAGTATTATATTTCATTCATATTATAACTCAGAATGCACAAAATGTATATCATTTAAAGAATTATCTAATCGTTGCCACATGTTCTATTCAAATACTATAATAAAGCTAGAACTATGTATAAAAGAAATTAAGAAAACAAAACAAAAAAGAAACAGTTTTTCATAGACGATTGAGTATTTCTCATTCAATTAATTCAGTTCTCACTTCGCGAGAAGGCAAAAATACGTAAAAACTCAAAATATCTATATTAAAAATTACGAAGTAAATCTCAAACGCTTATTTCCTCGAAAAAATTCCAGAAAGAATTAATGATTTAATTGGCAATAATAAATGAATGCGTTATCTTTGTTGTTGCAAAGCTAAGTTTCTCTAGATTGGCAACAAATCCACTAGTCTCCTGTTTCAAATGTAAACATCAATGGCCGCCATTAAAAACAGACTTAGCGACAATTAAACAACTTTAAAATTGCTGATTAATTCTAAAAATATTGCACACAGATTTACTAAAGGCATAAAATCCTTAACCGGAAGATAAAAACAATATAATTTAATCATTTTTAAAGAAAAAAATGTGCAATTTACAAACATATAAGAGTAAAGAAACTGAGATCACTGAGCCGGGTAATAGAGTGGATATATATATAAATATATTTATATACGTTTGGTGCTGCCAATTGCAACCAAAATACGAGTGCACATCTACATGTT